CTCCTCCTGGTCATCCCGAGCAGAACCAGCTCCTCAGGGCCATGCCAGGACCCCCCTCAGCCTGCATTCCTGGCCATGCTGGGCATGGCCTTTATTTAGAACCCGTGTAGGTGCCCCCTCTTGCCTGGCCTCAGGGCTCCCCGGCCTCCTAGTGAGTGGTGGGTGGGGACTGGGGAGGCAGCCTGGACGGCCTAGCAGGCACACCGCTGGGGCCTCATGTCATGTCTCGTCACCCTGCTGGTCATCACGGGATGTTCCCTCTGAAAACTGTCTTGTAGGTTTCATTTGGCCCCATCAGGTTCCGCGCAGGCAGGGTGGGTGGGTGGCAGTCCCAGCCTGTTGCAGGCATGCTGTGAGGCCAGGGCTGGGGCTGCCTCCTCTCACCCACAGCTGCCTTCACATAGTGGCCTGGCCTCCTCCTGGAGTCATGGTTTCTTGTGTCCCCCCTCCGTAGCTGCTCTTGTCAGCCTCAGTCTCCTTCTCTGAGCCCTCCACTCTGCCCCCTCAGCCCAGACCTCTGCCCTCTGCCCTTCCCTTCTGCACACCCCCTGGTGATAGCCCTGTCACCCCTGTCTGTCACTGGCAGCCCCCATTATGCATCTCCAACTGAGGCCTCTTCCCTGTGTTCCAGACTTGGTTTCCAGTTCACGGTTCAACCTCTGAACCTGATTTTCCCCCACCCTGCCCCTTCCTGCTCATAGGATGCCATCCTGTCCTCCTATGCTTAGGGCACAAACCTGGGCTTGCATCTCTCAGACCCAGCATCCTCAGCTCTGCCCTCAGAACTCACCGAGGGCATGGCAGTTCTCCCCACCTCGCTGGAATGTTGACGCAGCATCTGTCCGTCTGCTAGCTTCCACCATGGGCCCCGCTCGCATCCTCAGCACCAGAACAGAGGGATCCTCCGACAGCTCAGCCAGGCGGCGTTGCCTCTCGGTGGCATTGCCTCTTAGCGGCGTCCCTAGCGCTCCCTGAGTCTCTGTACTGTGGACCCAACCCCTCCCCCGCTGCCCTCATTGCTCTCCCCAAATATGCCAGGTCCAGCTATGGCCTGGCAGAGCCATGCCCTCTGCTGTTTCCAGAAGTTGTCACGCTGGCTCTCCCTGTTTCCTTCAGGTCTTTGCTCACATACCACCTGACCACCCTGAGTGAGACTGCAATAAGCACCCAGCTCCAGCCCCACCTGGCAGCATTTGCCCACAGTGCTGACACCTCGCACATGCCAGGCTAGCCACTTAGAGATGCTGTTCTCTCCCCATGAGAGCCTATGTTCTTGAACGGCAGGATTTTGTCTTATTGTTGAATCTCCCACAGCCAGCACACAGCAGATACTTAATGTGATACTTGTGGAATGAACGAATCCTCTAACCCGTTTCTTCGGCAGAAAATGTGTTTTTCAGTCTCCTGAGTATTCCCCAGGGGACACTAGCCAGTACTTTTCACTAAGCTCCTGTGGTAACACTGTCATTCTGCTTTCCTTTGCAGGTTGAGGCGGCTCAGAAACAAGACGGCTCACCAGATGAAGGTTCAGCACTTCTACCAGCAGCTGCTGAGGTCTGTCATGCCGCGCCCTTCTGCGTGTCCCCTGGTGATCCCCCCGTTCCCCAATCTGTCACACTAGCAGCCCACCTCATGCATCTCCAACTGAGGTCTCTTCAGTGAGTTCCAGACTTGGTTTCTAGTTTGCAGTTCAACCTCTGATCCTGATTTTCCTCCAGCCTGCCCCTTCCTGCTCATAGGATGTGTGTGCTGCTCCTGCGAGGGCCTCACACACTGGCTAATCCTCGGGGGTCTGTTCCTCCCAGTGATGTGGCGTGGGCGTCTCTGGACCTGCCGTCCCTTGTGGCTGAGCACCTCCCTGGGAGGCAGGAGCATGTGTTTTGGAAGCTGGTGCTGGTGCTGCCGGATGGAGAGGAGCAGTCCCCAGAGAGTCGTGGCAGGTCAGGAAGGGTTTCCCCTGTGGGGTTTCCAAGAGGTGGAGTGGGCAGGGCAGAGTTGTGGGCCAGGGCCGGGTATTCCTCATGTGTGATGGGAACTCGGAAGTGTAGGTTTATGTTTTAATGCTTGGATTTACAGTCTGTTTTGCTCATGATTTTAAATTGAAACTTTAGATTTGATTATTTCAATTTTTATTCCATAAACTTGGTGTATTAGTCCGTTCTCACACTGCTTTAAAGAAATATCTGAGACTGGGTACTTTATAAAGAGGTTTAATTGGCTCAGCTGTACAGGAAGCATGGCTGGGGAGGCCTCAGGAAACCCACAATCACGGTAGAAGGCAAAGGGGAGGGAGGCATGTCTTACATGGCCGGAGCAGGAGGAAGAGAAAGTGAAGGGGGAGATGCCACACGCTTAACCAGATCTCATGAGAACTCACTATCATGAGAACAGCAAAGTGGGAGGTGCCACACACTTCTAAACAACCAGATCTCCTGAGAGCTCACTATAATGAGAACAGCAAGGACGGATGCTGCAGACTTAACCAGATCTCGTGAACTCACTGTCATGAGAACAGCGAGGGGGAGGTGCCACACACTTAACCAGATCTCCTGAGAGCTCACTATCATGAGAACAGCAAGGGGGATTCCACCGCCATGATATAATCACCTCCCACCAAGCCCCTCATCCAACACTGGGGATTACAGTTCAACATGAGATTTGGGTGGGGATACAAATCCAAACCATACTACTTGGCAACAGTCTTAGTCCAAAAGCATTTAAAAGTTGTTATTTCAAGCTGTGTTAAGGTACATTGATAGACCTGCTTCATTTTAGACTCTCCAGTAAGATAGTTTATAGTCTGTTTACTATAGTTCCATTTTTTTCCCTTAAACTTTTGGCATTTTAAAAAAGAAAAAATTGATGTGATCTTATTTCCTGGAACCAAATAGCATACAGAAGTCATGTTTTTAAAGCAACTACAGTCTGTGTTTTTTGAGACAGGGTCTTGCTTTGTTATCACCAGGCTAGAGGGCACGGTGTGATAACAGCTCACTGCAGCCTCGACCTCCTGGGCTCAACTGATCTTCTCACCTCAGCCTCCTGAGTAGCTGGAACTACAGGCGTGTGCCACCATTCCTGGTTAATGTTTTTTTGTGTGTGTGAAAGATGGAGTTTCACTATGTTGCCCAGGCTGGTCTTGAACTCCTGGGCTCAAGCAATCTGCGTGCTTCAGTCTACCAAGGTTTTGGGATTACAGGCGTGAGCCACCACACCCAGCTTACGGTTTATTTTTAAAATAGCTGTATTGAAATGTTATTCGCATACCATGAACTTTGCCCGTTTAAAGTGTACATTTCAGTGATTTTTAGATATATTCACAGGGTTTTGCAACCATCACTGTTACTAATTCCAGAACACCTTTTCACTTAAAAAGAAAGCCTGTATTATCTTTTTTTTTTTTTTGAGATGGAGTCTCACTCTGCCGCCCAGGCTGGTGTGTGGTGACGCGATCTTGGTTCACTGCAACCCTCGCCTCTCAGGTTCAAGCAATTTTCCTGCCTCAGCCTCCGAAGTAGCTGGGATTACAGGCGCACACCACCGCGCCCGGCTTAGTTTTGTATATTTTTTGTAGAGACAGGGTTTTGCCATGTTGCCCAGGCTGGTCTTGAACTGGGCTCAAGTGATCCACCTGCCTTGGCCTCCCAAAGTGCTGGGATTACAGGCGTGAGCCATTACGCCCAGCTGTTGATTCATTTCTTCAAACAAAATAGCTGTCTTCTCATTTGCTAAGTTCATGTCACTTAAAAATTCTTAAGGTCTCAGGTATGAGAAATTTGATCTGTAAAAAACATGTATTTCAAACTCTAGGGATGTTTTCTATTGCTGAAAATCTTAATGCTTCAGAATCTTAAGTCACATTAGAATGAGCCAGTTCCATGAGTGCCCCCTCCTCCTGCCCAATTAAGAACAAGTAGAAGCCGGGCACAGTGGCTCATGCCTGTAATCCCAGCAACTGGGGAGGCTGTGGAGGGAGGATTGCTTGAGCCCAGGAGTTTGAAGCCAGCATGAGCAACATAGTGAAACTGAGTGAGACTCTATAAAAAAATGGAAAAATTAGCTGGGCATGGTGGCCCACGCCTGTAGTCTCAGCTACTGAGAAGGCTGAGGCAGGAGGTTTGCTTGCTGCGGTGAGCTAAGTTTGTGCCACTGCACTCTAGCTTGGGCGACAGAGCGAGACTCTGTCTCAAAAAAAAAAAAAAAGGTAAAAGATCGTTGCTCCATTTTAAAATGACAGCCTGTTTTGTGCAAGTCAGCTGCATAGTGAGATTTGGTATCTATGGACGTAGGTCTGCGTGATATTTCTCTTCTTTTCCTGAAAGTCTTTATAATTCAAATTTAGAGTTAGATTCTTCAAGTGTTTTATTGTTGTTATTTTTTTTAAATCTGTAGAATTCTAGCAAATTGGTTAAAAGTCAAGTTCATGGGAGATGAAGGCTCAGTGGATGACACATCCAGCGATGCTGGTGGGATTCAGACGCTTTCGCTTTTCAACTCGCTTAGCAGCAAAGGGGATCAGATGATTTCTGTTAACGTGTGTATAAAGGTGAACTATAATTACTTTGTGTTTACTTCTGTGTTTTCATTACTTTCACTTACTCCCAGATATCACTGGAACCATGCAAATACTGCTTATTCCCTAATGTGGTTTTGAAAGACTGCGGGAGGCTCAGAAGCAAGTATTATACGTCTCCGTAGATGTCTTTTAAAAAATTATTTTTTTTAAGCCAGTCAGATTTAGCAGGGGGCACCACGCCCAGCCTGCTTCTTTACTTTTTCTATTTTAATACTATATATTGGATTTCCTAAATGTATACGTACACAAAACTTTTTAAAAATGAGGAAATGTAAAAGAAGTATGAAGATGATGATAAGAACCATCCATGCCCTTGCTATTCTGAGGTAACAGTAACTTCTTGGTGCAAAATTCTTCCCTTTTCCTGGGATTACAAAGTCACATTTCATTTACTGGAAATTAGTTTACTGTTCCTATTACCTTCATTTTCATTTTTAATGAAAGTAGCACTTCCATGTACTTAAAAAGAAGTCAAATAATGCCACATGATTTAAAATGAGACATAGCTCCTCCTTCCTCTCTTAACTCCTTTCTTCAGGGCCTCATTTTTCTTACGTTTCCAGATTACGCACTTACACAGCCGTTTCTAAGTTTATCCATTTAAATGTTCTCTGCTGACTTCCCATTAATGTAAATGTATTAGTTACCTTATTCCTAAGTAACAAATTACCCCTAACATAGCAGCTTAAAATAAGTCTGTTATCATGGTTTCTGTGGGTCAGGAATCCAGGTGTAGCTTAGCTTGGGTCCTCTGGCTGAAGGTTTCTCACAGGTGGAAATCAAAATGTTAGCTAGGATTGCAGTCTCATCTGAAAGCTTGACTGAAGGGTATCTACTTCCCAGCTCACTCTAGTGAGCTTGTGTCATGTGGCCAAAGACTTCCTCAGTTCCTGCCACATGGGCCTCTCCCCAGCTGACAGCATGCCAGCTGGCTTTCATCAGAGTGAGCAAGAGGTGAGCCCAGATGGAAGTCTCAGTGTGTTTATAACCTAAACTTAGAAGTGACATCCTGTTGCTTGTTGGCTTCTGCCTGTCAGAAGTGAGTGGCTAGGCCCGGCTCACGGGGCAGGAGATCACACGTGGCCATGAACACTAGGTGGAATCAGGGGGACCCTCTTGGCGGCAGCATACCACCCTAGGTACAGCGTGGCCTCTTGTGCCATGGTCCTGCTCAGCCTTCCATGTCTTCCCGGGATAGCTACACTATCACTTTGTATCACTCCAGTGAGTGGGGTCATATTTTGATGGCTCTGTGACTGCTGTTTACCTCAGAACCAGTAGTGTTCTATAACCACAATTATTTTTTTTCTGCAAGAAACAGAGTTGCCTTATTGTCTCACTTAACATAGTTCTCTTCATCTCTTTCATTTTTACTGGGGGGCTGTGTATATCTCAGTAGAGTTTTCCAAATGTTCTATCACTTCACCTGATCCATGTTCCCTCTGTCCGGGAACCCTCATCTGTGGGCTGGTCTCCAGGCAGCACGTGCGTTAGTGCCGTCATTATGAGCACATGTCCCTGCTCCTCCACCTGGAAGCTCTGTGACCTTGGGCAAGGTCCCTAGTGTCTCTGCCACCTGTGTGTGGGTACTGTTACTTCTTATTCCTGTTTTACTCAGAGATGGTAAAATAAACTACCCAAGCCTGTGCAGGTGCTGTCTGGTGGAGATGCTCATCTGGCTCTTGCGGATAAAGTCAGTGCACACGCAGACTGCGTAGGACAGTGTCTGGCACAGGCCAGGTGCTTGCTCAGTGTTGCCATTAGCAGCAGCTGCTGCAGTAGTTTTTCTTGGTTCAGCCCCTTGTTGGATGGTATATGTCATGGGAGAGGAATTTTCTTAGTACTTTCCATTATGAAAATGATTTTATTCACAAAATGCCTTAGGCTGGGGGAAATAAAAAGAAAATGCATTTATTTTGACATTTGCTTCACAGTTTAGCTACATTTGTAAAATTATAGGTAGAAAATTATTTTCCTGGCCACGCATAGTGGCTTATGCCTGTAATCCCAGCACTTTGGGAGGCCGAGGTGAGCAGATTGTTGTGAGTGCAGAAGTTCGAGACCAGCCTGGGCAACAGGGTGAAACCCTGCCTATAAAAAATACAAAAATTAGCTGGGCATGGTGGTGTGTACCTGTAGTTCTAGTAGCTTGGGAAGCTGAGGTGTGAAGATTGCTTGAACCTGGGAGTTCGAGGCTGCAGTGAGCCATGATCGCGCTATTGCACTCCAGCGCTGATGACAGAGGGAGACCCCCTCTCAATTAAAAAAATAAAATTATTTTCCTTCCAGTTATGTTCCACTGTCACCTAGCATCCACTGTTGCTGTACTATTCCTGTTCCTTTCTGTGTGGCCTGGTTTTGTTGCTCTATGGAAGGCTTTTCTCTCTGTTCATGGCGTCCTGAAGATTCACTTTGTTATGCCTGGCACTGGACTACCTTAACTCACTGTGCAGGGCTTAGCAGGTTCTTTCAGGCTAGAGACTCCTGTTTCACTTCTGGGACATTTTCATGTCTTTATGACACTGTCTTTTTTCTGTTCTCTCTTGAGCTTCTATTAGATAGATGTTAGACCTCAATTGATCCTCTGAGTTTCTTACCCTTTCTGTTCTATTTTCAATCTCATCTCTTCCTACTGTGATCTAAAAGATTTCCTTGACTTTATTTTCCTCTTGTCCTACTGAATTTTTTATTCCATGTGTATTACTTATTTTCTCTTTATTCTTATCATGACTTTTTCATAGCATCTTATTGTTTGGATGCATCATTTTATCTTTCCAAGGAAATTAGGGTTTTTGGGGTCTAAGTTTTCTTTGGTTCATGTATTACCTGGTTTCTCTTTTTTTTTCCTCTTTGTTATTCCAGTTTCTCTCTTTTATGTTGGAGGCCCTCCTTATATGCCTTACCCAAGGCTGTCTGTCTATATCTGAGTGAGGCCCTAAAAGGCTAGCCAAGAAGTTCTATGTTTGGGGCGGGGTGGAAGGTAGCTAAATGGCAAGCCAGCCTTTTTGGAGGGACTCCCAAATGTCTGGATCTGGATGTCTGTTCCCTAGACTGTTCAGTTTTTCTGGAAAGGACTTGTGCCATCTGCTTTCTGGGGAGCTGCTGGTATTCTCAGGGTAGGGTCAGGAGTGGTTTGGTGCTGAGTCTCTTCCACTATGCCTGACCATGGCCCTACATCTGGGTCCTCTCAGGACTCCTGTTCAGGGGCCCAGGGGGACTGGTTGTGCATAGAGGTTGCCTGCAGTGGTGGGTGCCAATAGGGCCAGGCTCTGAATTTCACCTTTGGCTCCTGGTGTCTTCAGGGCCTGGGTATACAGGGCTTTTGCAGGCTTAGTCAACCTGACTCCTTACACACTGACACCTGCAGCCTTTAGGTATGGCATCCTCTGCTTCCCTAACACAGGGATTGGTCACATCTATTTGCTGCTTTCTAGAAATGTATCAGAATCCCTCATCTGCTGCTGGCGTGCCTTCCCTCTTTCTATTATTATGGGCTTATATTTTTGTTTATTTTTGTAGAAATGGGATCTTGCTGTGTTGCCTAGGTTGGTCTTGAATTCTTGGCTCTTGGCCTTAAACAGTTCTCCTGCCTTGGCCTCCCCAGGTGCTGGGATTACAGTCATGAGCCACTGTGCCTAGCTTTAACTGTTTTTATACCTGTTTAAGGTTAATTAAAATTATAGTAATATGGTCAAACACAATTGTAGCTGGGGGCTAAATTACCTGTTGACCTGGCTGTTTCTTGCACTAATTCTGTTGCATTAATTCTCATTTTTGTTGCTATGAATTTAAAATATGAACATGGGGTGGATGCGGTGGCTGACGCTTGTAATCCCAGCACTTGGGGAGGCTGAGGCAGGCTGATCACTTGAGGTCAGGAGTTCGAGACCAGCCAGGCCAACATAGTGAAACCCCGTCTCCATTAACAATACAAAAATTAGCTCAGCTACTAGGGAGCGTGAGGCAGGAGAATCGCTTGAACCCAGGAGGTGGAGGTTGCCAGGGAGCTGAGATCGCGCCACTGCAAACCAGCCTGGGTGACAGAGCGAGACTCCATCTCAAAAAATAAAAAGTTAAATAAAATATAAACACGTCTTATATCTGAAGGGCAGATATAGAAATTATTTTTCTAGTGTGACTGTCCTCTGAATATATGAAGAAACAATGTTATTTGACATTTCCTTTAAAAAGGGATTCTGAAGCTGGGCATGGTGGCTCCACACACCTGTAATCTCAGCTACTCAAGAGGCTGAACCAGGAGGACTGCTTGAGCCCAGGAGTTCAAGACCAGCCTGGGCAACATAACAAGACCCCTTCTCAAGAAAAAAAAAAAAAAAAGGTTGGGGGGAGTCTTTGCTAACCGTTGGATTTAGGGAAACGGGTCAGGAATTAAAATAACTACAGGAAGTAAGATAACTACAGGGTATGCCCAGCCGTGCCCTTGGAGGCCTGTCTGGAGTACAGTCAATATTTAGTGCATGGAGAGCTTCGGCTGCACTTGCTCCGGGGTAGATCAATCACTGCTGATGCGTCCCATGGTGCGTCTCTCCTGATGATCTTGATGCTGTTGCAGGTGGCCCATGGCGCCCTCAGTGATGGTGCCATCGATGCTGTGGAGACACAGAAGGACCTCCTGGGAGCCAGTGGGCTCATGCTGCTGCTTCCCCCCAAAATGAAGAGTGAGGACGTGGCAGAGGAGGACGTGTACTGGCTGTCGGCCTTACTGCAGCTCAAGCAGCTCCTGCAGGCCAAGCCCTTCCAGCCTGCACTTCCTCTGGTGGTTCTTGTGCCTAGCCCAGGAGGGGACGCCGTTGAGAAGGAAGTGGAAGATGGTTTGTGAAGGAAGTCTCGTTTATGAAGCAGCATTGTTTAAAAATGGGTGGAGGCCCTGGGTCTGAGGATGGGCCAGTAGTTTTGGGGTCAGGAATCACTGAGACAGCAACCCCTGTGGTTACTGTCCACTGCAGGACTGCGTGCGGTCAGCACAGTGAGATGTATTAGGTGTGCTGAGAGCAGAATGCGAGTGACCTTCCTCTGTGTCT